CTTGTCAGTCTGCTTCAGTCTGCACTCGGATGAACATCGGTAATAGCTGAGAGCCGGACGGAGACGGATCGTTATTTATTTATAACAGGAAAACGTCAGTGTTCATTTTATTCCTTTTATTCTTATTTATTCATTTCTAATTGTTGTCTGAATGTGAGCGGCTTAAAGAGGACCTGTCATAAAGTGAGCCTGCTATAAAGTGAGCCTGTCATAAAGTGAGCCTGTCATAAAGTGAGCCTGCTATAAAGTGAGCCTGTCATAAAGTGGGCCTGTTATAAAGTGAGCCTGTCATGAAGAGGGCAAGTCATAAAGTGAGCCTGTCATAAAGTGAGCCTGTCATAAAGTGGGCCTGTCATAAAGTGAGCCTGTCATGAAGAGGGCAAGTCATAAAGTGAGCCTGTCATAAAGTGGGCCTGTTATAAAGAGGACCTGTCATAAAGAGAACCTGTCATAAAGTGGGACTGTCATAAAGAGAACCTGTCATAAAGTGGGACTGTCATAAAGAGGGCAAGTCATAAAGAGAGCCTGTCATAAAGTGAGCCTGTCATAAAGTGGGCCTGTCATAAAGTGGGCCTGTTATAAAGAGGACCTGTCATAAAGAGAACCTGTCATAAAGTGGGACTGTCATAAAGAGGGCAAGTCATAAAGTGAGCCTGTCATAAAGTGGGCCTGTTATAAAGAGGACCTGTCATAAAGAGAACCTGTCATAAAGTGGGCCTGTCATAAAGAGAACCTGTCATAAAGTGGGACTGTCATAAAGAGGGCAAGTCATAAAGTGAGCCTGTCATAAAGAGAGCCTCTCATAAAGTGAGCTTATCATAAAGTGGGCCTGTTATAAAGAGGACCTGTCATAAAGAGAACCTGTCATAAAGTGAGCCTATCATAAAGAGGACCTGTCATAAAGTGGGCCTGTTATAAAGAGGACCTGACATAAAGTGAGCCTGTCATAAAGTGGGCCTGTTATAAAGTTGACCTATCATAAAGTGAGCTTGTCATAAAGTTGGCCTGTCATAAAGAGGACCTGTCATAAAGTGGGCCTGTCATAAAGTGGGCCTGTCATAAAGAGGACCTGTCATAAAGTGGGCCTGTCATAAAGAGGACCTGTCATAAAGTGGGCCTGTTTTAAAGAGGAGCTGTCATAAAGTGAGCCTGCCATAAAGAAGACCTGTCATAAAGAGGACCTGTCATAAAGAGGACCTGGCTTAAAGAGAGCCCCTCATAAAGTGAGCCTGCCATAAAGTGAGCCTGTCATAAAGTGGACCCGTCATAAAGTGGACCAGTCATAAAGAGGAACTGTCATAAAGTGGACCTATCATAAAGAGGGCCTGTCAGAAAAAGAGAACCTGTCCAGTTGTTATTGTTTAATGACAGTTCAGCATCCCCAGGTCATTTGGGGACACTGATCTGTCGTTACAACCGGGCAGAGAGCACGGCTGGCTCCGCCCAGCTGTCATTTTTGCGAGGCGCACGGCCGCCCTTTTCGCCCCGCTTCGGATGATACTTCGGCTCAAATACCTTTGGTTCGGCTGAGCCGATCGGCCGCCGTACGGACTATAGTGAATAGCCCGTACAGCAGCCCTTCGTGCCGACTGAACCGGAGGGCTCCGGCGGCGGCGGAAGCTACGGCTGGATCGTTCGGCAGCTTGGTGAATAGCCCCCATTTAATGATGTATTAATGAATAAGGAGCTGCGTTAATTTGCATATTTTATACCCGCCCGGCGTCCGGCGTTCCCGATCACTGTGATGTCAAATGCCGTTTTTATTTGATGGAAAACTTCCGGCATTATACAAAAACCTCCGAGGTCCTGAAAAGTGATTAAGTTTCATTCTGAAAATTGTCAACAAGCTTTCTCCGAGTCCATCAAATCCTCCCTTGTCCATCGCTGTGCGGCCACTGGGGGCGCCGTTGCTCCGCCCCTCGCTTATCCATCAAGCCGGGATAGGTTGCCGTGCTGCGAAAATAGGTCACATTTGGGGGATTTCGTGCCGTCATTGCTCAGCATTCACAGTGCAGACATTCCCAACTCCCGTCCTCATAGTTACCGGCGACAACTGGGACGCGGAGGCAATTAACCGCGATAATTTATTCCGATCGGGTCCTCGCCGTGTCACTCCTCTTTATCCCGGATACACAGCAGCTCTTGAGAAGTTTTCACGGCACAGATCAGAGGCTGGTGTCAGAGAGCAGAATTTGGGAATATTTTAATGGTTAAACGGTGGCACTAAAATCAAATAGTTGCTGATCCTGCCAGTGAAGTCCACCTAATGCATGGGGTGACAACGGTGCTGCACTGCTCCTGAATTCAGAGCAGCGTTGTCACCCTCTTGAAGTCTGTATCTGCTTGTACTACAGTGGGAGGAGAAGATGTTGTATGGGGGTGTGGCCATCAGTATTGTCACAGCTTGCCAATCAGCCACGCCCAGCCCCACACACTGATTTCTCGATTGGAAAACGCTGCCTTTGTTACAGAAACCCTCCTACTGCGAGCTGCAGTGTCTGGGAGGGGGGAGCGTGTGAGACACAAATGAGGGAGGATTTGGCTCAGTCAGGGGAAGTAAAGGAAGGTTTTTGTATACTTAATGAAGCTCGTGCATCACCTAGTGGCTGGATTTGGTACTTGTATATAAACTATAGCCAGCCAATCAGCTCGATGCTGATTGGCTGGCAAGCTGGCTTTCCAGCCAATCAGCATGGAGTCTGCTTCCTGAGCCCATCAGGAAGCCGGGTGGTGAGTCATTACACGCCGCCCGGCTTCCTGATTGGCCGAGGAACCAGCTCCATGCTCCCTCATCACCAGTCAATCAGGAAGCTGGGGGCAGGTAATGACTCACCCCTCAGCATCTACATTGGCTGGGAAGCCGGCTCCATGTTCCCTCGTCACCTAGTGATGAGGGAGCACGGAGCCAACTTCCTGGCCAATCAGAAAGCTGGACAGCGTGTAATGACTTGCCGCCTGGCTTCCTCATTGGTCAGGAAACTGACCCATAAGGAGGCCAGGTGGCGAGTCATTACCGACTCCCGAGCTTCCTGATTGGCCAGAAAGCTGGCTCCATGCTTCCTCTTCACCTGGTGATGAGGCAGCATAGAGCCGGCTTCCTGGCCAATCAGGAAGCTGGGCGGTGAGTAATTACATGCCGCCCGGCTTCCCTAAGGCCCCATTCATACTGAGCGACATGAAAATCGTGCGATAAATCGCTCAGTGTGAATGGGGCCTAATGGTACTTCCGCTAATGGTATCAGGAAGCCTGGCGGCGTGTTATTACCCTGCCCCCCCTGGCTTCCTGATTGGCCAGAAAGCCGGCTCCATGCTTCCTCGTCAGCTGGTCTCCATGCTCCCTCGTTACCTGGCAACGAGGTTGTATTGGTAGGAGCTTCTGAAACGTAATCACAGTACATGGAATCCTGGATATTTTTAATCAATTTGTATGCGCATGGAGCCGGCTTCCCGGGCCAATCAGGAAGCCGGGCGGCATGTAATGACTCGCCACCCCGTTTCCTGATTGCTCGGGAAGCTGGCCAAACAGGAAGCTGGGTGGTGAGTCATTATCCGCCCCCCCTCCCCCCCGGCTTCCTGATTGGCCAGAAAGCCGGCTCCATGCTTCCTCGTCACTTGGTGATGAGGGAGCATGGAGCCAGGTGGTGAGTCATTACACGCCGCCTGGCTTCCTGAACGGGTCATCCGGTATCGGTAGTCGGCCAATCAGGGGGGCGGGTAATGACTCGCCGCCCAACTTTCTTAACGGGACATCCGGTATTTGGTATCGGCGAGTACCGGTTAAAAAAAACATGGTGTCATACAGGAGGATTTCATTTTACTTTAAGTCCTACTTAGCCGAGGTTCAGGATCC